CCCTCACTCATGGCGGGCTTTGCACATCAGTGAGGGTTTTTCTTCCCAACCTGTGCCCTTATCTGGCATGACTCTGGTGTCCCTGTGGAGCTCACGTGCAGCCCCTGCCCTCCGAGACCCTGAATGTCTTGCACCACCTCTCCCTGGGCCCCGCTCCATCACTGGGAACTGCGCCATCTTGAAACCACTGTTCGCACTCCTTGTGCCCAGGTTGCCCAGACTCTCAGCCCCCAGGTGGTTCCTGGGAAGGCCCTGTGTCCTAACACCCACAGGAATCCGCTCACGGGGTCTGCATCTTCTCCTGGCTTTCCTCTTTCATTCAGCTTCCACCCCCACATGCAGGCCAGCAGCCCACCTCCATCCCTGCACCCAGGCAGCAGCTGAGTAAAGGCACCTGACTGCACAGGTGGGGCCCTCTAGACGCATCCTCTCTAGCATCAACCCAGCCCTCCACGCCAGCTGCCTGTCCTCATAGTCATTTACTCTGATGACCCACAGTCCATGGAAAAACGTGCCTCAATTGTTTTCTCCACCTGTCTTCGCCTCAGCTCAGCATTTAATCTCCCCAACTCTAGGGGAAAAGGAAGCTATCAGATGGCAATGACCTCAGCTTTGTGCCACTAAAGCTGTCTGCCCCTGCCTGGGTCCCCACCCCGGCACCTCACCATCTTCTTGTGATGGAGGCGGGGGTCCCTCCATGCCATGTCCCTCTCGAGAGCCCTGCTCCACCCTCCTTCTCTCTGCTGCATCTTCCTCTCTCTACTGGCTCCTTCTGGACAGTATTTAAGTCTGCTGCAGTCTCTGCTGCTAGTCAAAACATCCTTCCTCAAATATGTGACCTTCTCCTTTAACCCTGTGCCCGCCCTGCACGGCCCTTCCCTCTTGGCACACTGCTGGAGGGCCCTACTCGCTATTTATACACGAGTCTTTGTAGCTCTTAGGCGATTCCCGCCTAGTTTCCATCTCCATCCCAAAGAGAGCCTGCTCTCACCTAGGTCATGCATGGTGACACTTCACCACCTCTGGGGACAGGTGTCACCAGGGCGAGGCCTCAGTCTCCTTGAAGTGACCTTGCTATAGCCTCAGAGGCACCACGATGCCAGAGACCTGTGGCCTCCTTGGCTGCTGCTTCTAACCTCCTTTCCTGTGTTTTGCTCCTTGGACCATCTCATTCAACTCCCTGCAGGCCACATCCAAACCCAGGGCTTCGTGATCTATAGCCTGACGAGGCCCAGAGTTCTGTCTCCAAGTGGCTGGGGTCTTAGGGCCTCAATCCCATTACCCTCAATATGGGCTCTGAGCTAATGGAGGGATTGATTCGGGAACCACCTGCAGCTGTGTTCTGAGTCAAGCTGAATTGGAACATGTGGCTTAGAATTGCAGCAAAATATCCCTCTTCATTATCTCATCCAATTGAACTGACTTTCTGTATCCAAACACAGCCTCCCCTTTGCGGCAGCCCTATCAGCCTGGAAGGTGAGCCACGTGCAGCCAGGTGGGGGCCCAGAAAACAGGAAGCGTCTGCGTTTCAGAGCTCAGCTGAGAGGTGGCTGCGCTGAGGGCCCCAGGGTCCGATCAGTCAGCTGAGTCTTTTCCACCTGCAGGAGGTGCATGTCCAAGGGAAACAGAGGAGGGCAGAGCTGCCATCCTTGGAGGGCTTAGGGTGACACCTCTACAGGAGTCTTAGGCAGTTGGGGAGAGGGAGAAATTGGTTCCCTGCACCAAGCTCTTGACCACCATCTGCGGCCCACTACTCCATGTCCCCTACTTGGCAGACATGGGTCATTAGTCTACCCCTTACAGCAACCTTTCAGGGCAGGTATTATTATTACTTCTATATTTTGAGGGAGGAAACTAAGGCTCAAAGAGGCCAAGTCTCTTACCTGCCTGAGGTGCCTCACCCTATGAAATGGCGGCAGTGTTCGTGTGAGCAGGTGAATCAGCTTGGGCTACAATTAAAAAAATACCATGGGTCAGTGACTTAAACAGAAACGTATTTTCTCGCAGTTCTGGAGGCTGGAAGTCTGGGGTCGGGGAGCCAGCGTGGCGGGGTTCTCATGAGGCCCCTCCTCCTGGCCGCTGACAGCTGCCTTTCACTGCAGCCTCACATGGTAAAGAAGTCTGTGGGTCTCTTCTTCTAGGGCACAAACCTTATCATAAGAGCCCCCTTCACTTCATCAAACCCTAATTACCTCCCAAAAGCCCCGTCTCCAAATACCACCCCAACAGGGTCTTAGGGCTTCAACATATGCATGGGTGGGGGTGACACAATTCGGTCTATAGCAGTAGGATTGGAGTCAAGCACTCACAAGATACTGGGAGGATACGGGCACGTAACAGCCGGCATCTCTGAGAAGCAGGTAACCTGGAATATGCCGAATTATGGAGACCTCAAGTTTCAGCTGCAAATGACCAGGAGGTCTTTGAATCTGACATGTGGACGAAGCTTCACCTGGTTCTTCAGGAAAGGATGGGCCCAGGGCAGGCATCAGACGGAGGGAGGGGGCAGGGCAGATAGCTACATTGTTACCATCATTTCTATAGAGAATGTCATCAGGGTGATATCCCACAGGTGTTTGAACATGACCCCCAGAGTCCTTGAATGAAGCAACTGAAGCAACAGGGGTTGGCCCTTCCCCAGCAGACGAGGAAGGTCTGGAGAATCACAGACATTTCCTGTCCAGGTCCGCTAGAGCATCGGCCTCCTGGACTTGCCTCAGATAGCCTCTGTCCCCTAGTAGGGGAGGAGCCTCTGAGGGGACACAGACAATTTATTTTTGTGGCATGAGGACCTTCAGTGAATCCTGTGTGAATAAACCAGCTGCCAGAGGCATTGGGAGGACAAGAGGGGAGGCCCCTATGACTGGACGCTGGAAGACAGGGCCCTCCCCACCCCCTACCCTGATAGGTGATGCTGCGGTCAGGGAGGACGGCAGCACCTGAGGTGCTCACTCACAGTCAGGGGCAAAGTGGCAGCCTCTGAGGCTCACCCCTGGTCACTGTGGGCCATCGACAACCATAAAGAAAAGAAAAACGGGGGGGCATGGGTGGGAAATACCAGCCATGGCTGAATGTAGAGAATGAGCCAACAGGGCTACCACACTCCTTTCAATCCCTGTGCACATTAAACATCCTGGGAGAGTGAAGAGGAAGTGGAAAATTCCACCTAGGAACTTCTTTTTAGTCCCCTCGCTTTTTGTTGATGGCCAACCGTGCGTTTGGAGCAGCCTGGCGGGTATTCCTAGGACGTCCCAGGGCTTCCAGGCCAAATCCTGGGAGGATCTGCATTTGGGGGAGGGGTGGGAATGCAGGGGCAGATGGGCCTTGACTCTGCTCCCAGCATCCAGGCAGGTGCCGGGGCGTCCTGGAGGAATGCCTTTAGGCCCTCAGGGCTCTCCAAGGAGGGCCCTGACGATTTCTTTCCCTGGCCATGGGCTCTAGCCTGAGGCCAGGGTGTGATGTGCAGGACAGGGCGGCCAGGCACTGGAGCCCGGCAGAGCTGGGCTGGAAAAGTGGGCGGCGGGGCCGACTGCAGCAGGGCACCACCTCGTGGCCACTGGTCCACATTGCAGCTGTGATGTGAGGCCAACCAGGAGCGAATTTGGGGGAGGCTGTATCTTCCATAGAATCGAGGGGGGGGGGGGGGGGGGGGGGGGGGGGGGGGGGGGGGGGGGGGGGGGGGGGGGGGGGGGGGGGGGGGGAGGGGGGAGGCTGGTAATCTGTCCATAGAGAATCGAAAAAAAAAAAAAAAAAAAGAGGGGTGGGAGCACGTATTAGCGCCAGGTGACAGCAGGGCCCTGCAGGGAGAGGACAGAGAAGTGATGGGACGAGGAGGAAAGGGAAGTTGAGGAAACAATTTAGAGAAGATACAGGGGCAGCATGAAGGCCCGTGGCAGGGGGCAGGAGCAGGACAGAGGCATGGGGGGAGGGAGGGAATCAGACCGGGCTCCCCAGCAGAACCTTGCTGTTCATTTCAGTCTTGCAGACAGCTCCTTCTCTGCTCCTGTGTCTGATGTACTAGTAACTAACATTTGTTGTTGTAAGCCTTTTGCGTAGGTTAACTCATTTAATTCTCTACGTGTATGTATACGGAGGTATTACATCATACCAAACTTACCCATCATGAGATCAGGCAGAGAGGTTAAGTTACTTGCTCAGACTCACACAGCTAATAGGTGGGACCCAGGGCGGCCTGGCTGCAGAGCCTCTGTGTGAATCTTTGCCCCATCCTTCCTCTGGGGACTGCCCTCAGAAGGTCCCCATAGACAGTGTCTCAAATATCTCAGGAAACATCCTTGCTAAGCACAGAGTGACAGGGAGGCAGCAGGGCAGACAGGAGGCCCAGGACTGGAGAGAGACGCCTTGCTGTGAACCCACCTCCGCCCTCAGCCATGCACCAGCCCGCAGGGCTGTTCTGAGAGTTAAAGATCACGCCTAGGGAGGTATTGTGTGCCATACAAACTGGGAGGCCTGGTTACTGTTTATACCGATTTTATCTTACAGGCTCCCAACACTGGGTTTCTGAATCTGTTTTTTTTAAGGGAGATTAGTGCCAACTTTGGACCAAACTCATGCCCATCCCTGGGTGTGCCTGTCTCTGTGGGGGAGGACAGACTCTAGGCCAGCCCATAGCAGGCCCTGGCCAAGGTGAATTTACTCAGCAAATGTTCAAGCAGGTGGTACATGTCTACTGGGCCTCTTGAGATGCTTTTGTTTTTAATCTCACATCCCCTCTGATGGCCAGTGTTGTCACGCCCATTTGACACATGCGGCAGGCAGCAGAGGTTCAGAGAACATAGGTGACTCGCCAGTCACACAGCAGGGCACGGCACTCCTGGGCTTGAGAAGAGGCCTCTCCAAGGCCTACGCTGGGGCTCTCCTCTGTATTCTGAAATCTGGCCATTCAGTAGTGGTGACGCCAACCCAGTAGGCACTCTGAGCTGGAGGGTTGAAGGCAGCGCAAATGCCTGACCCTTGTAGAAAAACAACACACACACCCAAACGATAAAATAGCTCTTTATTTATTCACTTTGATTTGGATCATTGGAAATATTAAACAATAAATAAAACAGAGCGGGGGCTGAGGAAAGCAGGACCTTGCTAACGTTATTTGAATGCATCCCAACCAGTGCTCAGCTGCGCAACGACATGGAGAGAGGCGAGGGGGAATAGAAAGCAAGTTTTAAAACACCAACAGCCAAACACACAAGACTGCACGCAAGAAAAAGTGCTCAAGAAACTTTGGCTTTGAAGGGAATTCAGTGAAGGGAAGCGATTGTGCAGGAGGAAGGGAAGGAACCCGCGATCACCCTAAGGGGGCGGGGGGCTGAAGGGGGAGGCCCTGACACAGGCTAGGGTTAAAGCTGACGTCCCCCAGCTCAGGACGTGCGACCAATGGCAGTTTTGTACTAGGAAGAAGCTGAGTGATGAGGCTGGATGATGGGATCGCCTGATGGGCTGGGAGGGAGAACAGGAGGTGTAAAGGCGGCTCACCGCCCATAGGAAATTCAGTGCTCTTTTGGTAAGAAAACAAAAAGTCGGTAATGCCCTGATCCTGACAGGCTGTGAGATGCTGCCTTGCCTGTCTCTGCCTTTTCTTCTAGGTCTTCCTCTTCTTCTTTGCACAAGTGTCAGGGAGCACCCCAGAGGTGCAGGAGCTGGTGTTTTCATGACAAACAAAAACGGGGAGGCTGACTCTTATCTCAAAACTGGCTAGCCCAGTTCACAGGGCAGGATAATCCTGATGGCATGTAGCCACATTCGCTGCAAACCAGATGTCCACGATGGATATAATGATACCCCTGGGGCTCTTCTCAGGGGCAAGGACAGGTGCTGGTTCCTGATGGCGCATGGCTGGTGTGCAGTCATCTTTAGCTGGACAGTGGCCCCTTGAGGCTTGGGCTTCCCTGCACACAGCATTTTTGATCCTAGCCAGGGGAGGGAGAGTTCTTTTGGTTTCCTTTTTATTTATTTTCAGACTACTTCAAAGCAAACATACCAGTTCAAAATGTTCTTTGTGGTTTTAATCCACCTTTGCCAAGAGGCCAGAGTCACATCCAGGTGGGACTGGCCTCTAGCACCACCTTCTGGCCACGGCAGAGAATGGGATTCCATCAAAGCCTCCCAACCAGCCCTTTCCCTAAAGAATCACCCAGATCTTAACTGCCCTCTCTACCTTCTTTCTGTTTCCCCCCCCCCATTTTACATTCCATTTTCTCATATCTGGCTTTTCTCTCTAAGCCTAACCAAATGCTTTGCTGAATGATGTTTGGAAAAGCCAGAGTTTTAAAAGGCATTCATCCATTTATGAACTTTCTTCCAGCCCAGGATCCCTGCAGAGAACCAGAGGTTATAACTCTGTCCTCCTTTCTCCCCTAAAAGGTGGCTGAGGGCAGGGGAGGTACATGTAGCTCCAGCTAGAGCAAATCAGTGCCCTGACTCACTGGGGAGACCCAGGGGGCTGGGATGTTGCTGACACCTCATGGGCCACTTCGTCAGCCTATCTTTGCAGCTTCAGGTTCAGTGCTGGGTGCTGCAGGCAGGGACCCCTCTGTTCTCTGCTTGAACGCAGGGCCAGTCTCCAAGGAACTCTCTGTCCGCAGAGTAGAAAGAGTTGTGGGCTGGGATTCAGGGGCCTGCGGGAGCCCCCGCCACTACGTGCCTGGCACGAGTGCTCGTCGTACTCCTGCTGACAGCATGCATACTGCCCTTTGGCTAACACACACTCTGTCTAATTCCCAGCCACCTTCACCCCAGGGATGAGTTCCAGTTGGTTTAAGCCAAACTGGTGCATTTAATTCTGGCTGCAACAACTGGCTTTTATTCCATTAAGTGCCCATTGCTAAGCCAATGAAACATAAGAGCTATCTGCTATGGGAAAGAGAAATGTGGTCTCCTGCACTGGAGGGCATGAGAGGCCACCCAGGCAGCCTGCGGACAGAGCTCGGTGCTGAGAGAGCCCACGAGAGTCAGACGCCTCCATTCTGGTTACACTTTTTCCAGACGCTGAGTGGAGACTTGCTGGGAAAGCCCGCCTCCAGACAATTTCAACATAGCGCCGGTAACACCCTTTTTCTGCTCATACTCTGACTTGTGCTATCTGTCCCAGACAGTTCACGACTGCCCGTCACTTCCCTCCTTCACACTCCACCAGGAAAAGGCCACACCTCCCTACACAGCAGCAGCCTTTTAGGAAATGTGCTCAACAGGAAAAGTGGTTTTTCTGATTAAACATCAGTAACTAGAGTCAACAATCACTGTCCTCTCCCATGCCTGTCACGCTCCACTCCCCACCCAGCTGCAATGTGGCCTTGATTTTCTCATCAGTATAACGGCAGAGCTGGATTTGGAAGCTGGAAGAGATCTCACAGCTTGACCATCCTAGTGGGAGATGGGGAGACCAGACGGAGACCAGGTCATCGACCCAGGCAGCATGTGGCTCAGACACAGACGCCTCTTCATGTCGAGGGACCTATTCTTACACAGCAAAACCCAGAGAAGTCGATTGCTCAGCCCGAGCCTGCCATCCCTGTATAGACTCAGCTTTCAGGAGAAAGGGAAGAGTTCAGGAGATAGCAACACTCTCTGTTTCAGTGTCTGATGATCTGGAGTCTGCCCCTGGAGTCACTCAGCCACTCAACAAACGTTTGCTGAGTTCTTCACCTCATATATGGCTATATGTCACCTCATATCTGCCCTTCGGGGCTGTATGTTCTGAATGACGACTCAGCGATTTACCAGCCTTTCTCAGAAAAAAAAAAAAAAAATCTTAAAGTTGTGGAGGATTTTAAAGCTGAAACAGGTTTTCTGTTTAACACATTCCCCATTCTGAACCTTTGAGAATCTGATAAAAGCTATAGACCCTCTCTCCAGAAAAATGCTCATAAGTAGAGATTCAGGGAAAAAACCAAACTTGGCATGCAACTTCCGGGGACTCTTGTGAATGGCCTGAAGCCACCTGTGACCCATGACTGGTGTCCCCAAGCTCCTCCCTCCCCGTGTGCAGAGGGGGCTCCCCCGTGCCTGGGAGCACAGGCCCCACGCCTCCGTCACGCTCCACCAGGAAAACGTCACGCCTCCTCAAAGCAGCAGCGGCCTTTTCAGGGATATTTTCAACAAGAAAAGTGGTTTTCCTGCTTAAACATTAGTAACTGGAGCCAACAATCACTGGTTCCCACATTTCTGTTACTCTCCACTCCCCACCCAGCAGCAGTAAGGTTTCACAGAGTTTTGGAGACTCCTAGCCTGAGAATAAGTCCAAGTCCACAAAGAGGAAGAAGGAAGGTTGGGTTGGAACGGGAGGATGCTGAGGACATTCCACAAACCATCCAAGCCCTAGATACCCCCAATATCCCACGTCTGAGGACTCCTACACACCCCCCTTAAACACACCCCCGTTTCCCAGCTACTGGGTGAGGCAAACTTCATTAAAACACCAGGACCACCAACAGAGCCAGGGTGCAACAATGTCAGTTGAATAAAAAAAAAGAATCAATAAATAATCACGAAGGCTAACAAGGAAAGGAGAACAGCTGGGGAGTAAGAAGATGAGGTATGTGGCAGTCACCATTCTTGGGATATCCTTGGCCCAGACCCCCAGTGACAGCCCCAAGATGGCCAGCAGGGACTTGACCCTGAGCTCAGGCCCTCGGGGAAAATGCTGCTGGCAGCCTCCTGTGTGGCTTTGGAGGTTGCGGGCACCCTATTGAAGAGTCTGAGAATGAGAATGTACGTTCCATTCTGACGTGCTGCTGGGTGCTGTTGAATATCCTCAGAGCTTTGTTCCAATTCAGGTGCTGGCTCAGGAAACCAGAAAAGATGTTCCCAGCCAGAGAGCAAGCAGGGCCGCTGGTGGGGGTCCCTTTTCCCAAGTAAGGGCTTTTGTTTCATTTCAGCCCATGCATGCTTTTCTTTCCCAAATACAAAGGCACATGGAAGTGGTCAGATCCGCTCTCGCCACGATTAGAACCACGAGGTGGACCACTCAAAGGAACATCTGCTTGGGAAGAGGTATCTGCAGGAGTCAGAAACACGGCGCCAAGTTTGGGGATTTTTTCTTTTCCTTTTTTTTTTTTTTTCAGAGACAGGGTCTCACTCTGTTGCCCAGGCTGGAGTGCAGTGGTGTAATCACAGTTCACTGCAGCCTCAAACTTCTGGGCACAAGAGATCTTCCCTCCTCAGCCTCCCTAGTAGCTGGGGCTACAAGTGTGTGCCACCATGCCTGGCTAATTTTTTTAAATCTTTAATTTTTGTAGAGACAGGAGTCTCACTATGTTGCTCAGACTGGTCTTGAACTCCTGGGCTCAACTGATCCTCCCGCCTCGGCCTCCCAAAGTGTTGGGATTATAGGTGTGAGCCACGGCACCTGGCCTCCAGTTTCTGTGAAAATCTTTGGGGTAGGAGCCTCTGGTGGCTCATAAATGAGTTTTGGGAAGAAGATGACAGGGTTGTCACGCCAAGCGAGAGGCCGGGCTTCGTGCAAAGAAGGGCAGCATCTTGCCCCGGGTGCCAACAGCGCCTGGCATGTCTCTGTGCTAGACAGAATCGCCACTCAAGTCTCTGCCCATCTTCCTGGGAAACTGTCCTGTCCCTCAGAATATAGGCGTCTTCCACATTCGTTCCCCAAGCTCGCTCCGGGAGCTACAATGATTGTAGTGTGTGGAGGTTGAACCTTTCCCAGCGCCTCCCCAGCTCTGGGGCAGCGGTGGGGGGACGCTGTCCCCACTCAAGACAGGTTCCGAGACATGCTCTGCCACTCTGGCAGAGCTTAGTGACCTTGCTGAATAGATGCTGCCAATGGCTGGGTGCAAGAGGCTGTGGGCGGTGCCTGGGCACACACCTGAGGCTGCCCCTCCAAGCTCCGGGATGGAACGGCTCCGGCAAGATGCTGGGGCTGGAAACACAGAGGTGTGACAGTGCGTCCATCCTCCACCCTTCACTGCGTCATCTCCCCTTGAAGATCCGGATTTTATTGATGGAGGCCAAGGTGGCCGTCACGTTAGACTCGAAGTCTGCATCGTGCACCCCTGTCTTGCGAAAAGCCCCCGCGGATGGGTTGTTTTCCCAGTAGTGGTGCCAGTTCCCTTTGCTGTCTGCCCCGAAGCCGTACAGGTCCACCTGTGGGGGCAAAGCAAAGATGAGAACCAGACAGCAGGGCTGCTGGTGGCACCTCTGAGAAAGGAAGCCTGTAGGCGTTCCTGGAATCCCACAGGACCATAAACAGCATTTCCAAGGACTCAGACTAACCCTTCATTAAAACCCTTCTCTACGTTCCTGGAACTCTCAGAGGCTTGGTGAAGCAAATGCAAGTTAAGTAAAGCTCAAGTCCAATGCCAGAAGCACCCTGAGAGATGACTGCATGTGGGTGGTCTCGGAGCCCGGGTCTTACCTCTGCAGCAAGGGCAACCTATTCTTCCAGAATCGAGGAGCTACAGAGGGAAGCAATAGGAAGGAGGCCATGGAATGGAAGAGAGTGGAAGGAAAGCAGGGCTTTGGGGCCGAGCAAACTGCCCCAAATCCCAGCTCTGCCACTCCATGATGCTCTGGGCATGTGAAATCACTTGTTTGAGCCTCACTTGCCTCATCTGGAAAATGGGTCCAAGAATCACGATTGCAATGAGGCAGAGGGCAGGGCTGATCCCTTTCTTCTCTGCGGCCAACATTCATCTGGACCAGGCGCCCTCGTGGCCACTAGGCCAGGCCTTTCACATACATGACAAACGCTGTGCATTTATTCTGAGCCCAGCACCCTACTGGCTGTGTTGAAGTTCAGGCAGAGCTTGATCAGATGCCAGCTGGGCAGCTGCTGGGGGAAGCAGCCTTGGGGCTTACAGCTTCTTGGAGTCACTGACTGAGCCATGCTTGTTGGAACTGGGGCTAAATTCAGGGATCCCACAGCACAGAGGAGGGAGGGGCTGATGCCCTGAGAAGTCAGAGGAAGCTCTTCAGAGGAGGTGGCATGTGGGTCGAGTCTTGGAAAATCAGTACAAGATGACCGGAAGGAATCGCATGGAGGGGTTTCCAGGGAGAGGATGTGCTATATGCACTACAGCGTAGAAGACAGATTGGAGGGGTGGGGACAAAGAGGGGACAGCGGACAGCTCCATGCCATATGTGGCTTTCTAAGGAAATGCAACATGGACGTGGGCCTGCTCCAGGGCAGGGACATTAGGGCCAAACAGGTGGGAACGATGGGAGAAAGGGCTGAGCAGAAACCCAAGCAAGGGTCTGGGACCAGCTGGCTGGAGGTGGGTGGGGTGGGGAAATGACAGGGGCACCCACGTTGCAACCTGGGAACACCAGGGCAGGGCTGAGCCTGGGGACCTGCCTTGCAGTGCCCCTGACCCATTCCTGGGATTTCCACCAGGCACCAGGCAGGGTGGGGCTGGGGCTGGGCTGGAGACAAGAAGGGCCCTGCCTGAACCCAGGGTCAGGGAGGAAGTGGGGGCTGTGTGACCCGCCCTCCTGCTCCTCTTCCTGGGGCGGCAGCAAGCCTCTCAGAGCATCTGTGGAAACTCCAACACAGCCTGGTAGACGGCGAAGGATGTCAGAAGGGAAATGCATGCTTCTCGAGATCACTGGTTCTCAATGTCGGCAGACAGTGGAACCCATGGGGGCCTGGCTCCATTAATTCTGGAAAAATTGGGCCAGGATGTGGCCTGGGTGCTGGAACTTAGACCCACAGATGATTCTAAGGAGTAAGTGGGATTGAGAACCGCAGCCTTAGACAATTCTCACTATGAGAATCCGCTCCTGTATCCGGAATCTGCTGCTTGATCCGAGCTTCCACCGCCATGGTCCTGGGCACTCACACAGAATGTGCCAGAACTCTTGCTCCTGAGAACTTTCTCATAGAGCACTGTTACTCACTGAAACACCCTGGGAGACACACGTTGCAAGCCCTGACATAGAGACAGAGAATCCGAGCTTCTGGAAGAGGCAGGCTAGGTCTACCTGCCCTCCCTCTCCCTGCCCTCCCTCGGGAACACAGGACGGTGAGCTCTGTCCTCTGGGCAGCCCTGCGGGAAGGGGGAGGGTGGCATACCTCATCGCAGACATGCATTGAGAAGATGACCGAGAGGATGCCGGTAGATGGGTACCGCCCGTGCCCTTGCAGCCAGTTGTCAAACACATACTTGATGAAGGCTGGGTGGTAGATCAGGATCTGCGGGGATGGGAAGACATGGCCCTTAGTGAGTTCCGGTGGGCAAAGGACATGGAGCGCCTATCAGACACACACACTGTTGCGGCCATGGAGGCACAGCCATGAGCCTGACGGATACCCCTGCACTCGTGGGCTTCCACGCTCGTGGGAAAGATGGACACTCATCCACATGAGTAAGAGACAGAGGTGCTGAGCTAGTAAGTGCTATGGAGAGCAATGATGCAGAGAAGGGCCCTACAGGACGGTGTGAGGAGGATCGCTGAGCTGACACACAGAAAAACCCACGGAGGCCAAGGAGTGAGACAGGAGACTGCTCAGGAGAAGGGGGCCCCAGGGAACAGCGTGAGGTGGGATCAGACACTGTCAATGAGTGAAGACGTAAGCACCAAGCCACCTGATGATGGCTGGAATCATCGCCAATCCTTAAAATGACCTCATGTCCCAGGTTTCCCTCTCCTCCTGCTATAGATAAGAAAACTGAAGCCCAGAGAGGCTAAGTGACCTGCCCAATGTCACGCAGCCGGCAGTAGCTGAGCTGGGAGGGGGCCGGTGTCAGGCTTGGCCTTGGTTCCTCACCCAAAGCCGGCCTTGAGGACAATGAAAGGGACTTCTCAGGCAGGAAAGGGCGTGAATGTCCAGAAAGCCAAACTCCAGCCTCTTGGAATGGACTGGAAGGGTGGATTCTGTGGACCTCTGGTAAACCACTCACCTCTCAGTGTGGCCTCCTACCATCTCTAGGAGGCTGTCCTTTCCACCAATGCCACCCTGTAGAGACCCATAAGTGGCCTTTTCCCTGAGGCAGCACAGCCCAATGCAAAGGGCAAGATGCTGGAGGCACAGGAAGTCTTCAATTCTACCCTTATCCAGAACTAGCTGTGTGTCTCTGGGCAAGTTTCCTGACCTCTCTGAGCCTATCTAAGTTTGATAGCGTATGCAAAAGGCCAGTGTGGTAGGCACCTCACTTCCCTCCTTCTTCTGCCCTTTGCCCATCTCTTGACCAGCCTCATGCCAGGGGCCTGCTGGGGAAGATGCAGACATGGAAAGAGATGAGAGGCAGGAGGTGAGGTCTGGCTTTGAGAGTAATTCACAAACCACAGCGTGCGTAGGGGTCCCTGGAGAACATGTTAAAACCAGAATGCGGGGCGGCCAGGGTTTCTGATCAGTAGGTTTGAGACGGGCCTGAGGATGTGCATCTGTGACAAGCTCCCGGGTGGTGCTGCTGGCCCGGGGGATCCCGCTTTGGGAATCTCTCCCAGTGTTTGACCTCTTCCCCCAGGGGGCTAGCTAAGTGGGAGACACTACCTCCAGCAGCCTGGGGATCTGGGGGCTGTCTTGCAACTCAATGCTGTACCTGAGAGCAGAGCCTTAGATGAGGAAGCCTGAACTTAGAACAAAGGAGCTGGGGCCTCCACTCACCTTATCCTGTTTCACTCTGATCTTTGCAGGAACCGGGACATAAGTGCTGCAGTTGGAGAAAGAGAAGCTGGTTAACGGGGCAGGGGACAGGCTCAGGAACCTGGGCACGCAGCTCTGGGGGTAGTGACTAGAGAATGAAGCAGGCGTAGCCTCTCCTGCCCCCCACACCTTCCCTCAGGGACCCTCACCTCCCTACCTCAGCCACAGAAACCCCCTGCCCACAGCAATCCCCGATAGACACCAGAGAGCGGCCTTGCCTAATTTGAGGACATTCTGCTGGGTTTTGACCCCTATTCCCCAAAAAGGTGAGGAGGACTTGCTCCAAGCACAGCCTTAAGGAATGGAGTGGGGGCCGTGGTGCCTCCACCTCTCAGGGCCACGGCACCCCTGCCGAGCTGGGGCACTGGCTGGTGAGACCCGCGGCTGCCCCTTCCTCAGCTGGGCGGTTGCATGTACCCCAAGTGCAGAGGTGTCAAAGCTGGTCCCACGGGTGCGATTCCTGCTCCCGGAGGAGACTGCAGCTGAGCCACATCCAGACCTAGCTCCCACCCTGCCCCACCCTGGTCTGCCTCCCTCACCCCTAGTCTCCTGCACCCACATCCCGGGGCTGGCTCTGTTCCTAGAAAACCTGGCCGAAGACAAGACGGTTTGTGGAAATCTGGACATCAAAGCACTTCCCTTCAGTCAGGGTTAGAGGAGAGCACAGGCTCTGTGTGGAGTTCAACCCTGGGCAAGGTGCTTGGCCGAGCTCCAGAGTCCTCACTGGGAGAATGGAGCAAACGATAACGGCTATTGTGAGGATTAATTGAGATAATATGTGCCAAGTGCCATGTGCGGTGCCTGCTCAGAAAGCTAGGTTCCTGATTGTCAGGGAAGCCACAGCTGCTTTGCTCAGCACTGCCTGCCCTGGGGAGGGGCCCAGGCTGCACCTGTACTCCCCATCCCTCATTTCTTAGGAACCCTCACCTGGCCAGGCTCACGTAAGTTTGAAAAGCAAGGTGCTGTTATTTGTCAGGCTGCACTTCAGAAATAAAGGGAGGCAGAACTCGTATGTGCCGCCCCTTTCTAGTGGCGGCCCCCTTCCCGAAGAGTCTCCGGGGTGCGTGGAGGTCCCTCCGGGCATTGTTAGCAAGAGGACACTAAAGCTTGTGGTTCGTTAAGTGATGGGGAGAGAAGAGTTGGAACAGTCGGAGAGGCAGCCACAGGAACGGGGCTTGTGTGTGCCGGAGGAAGCTGGGGGAGGGGAAGCACCCCAGTGGAGGCACAGCAGGACCACGGCAGGGCTGGGGGACAGGGTGTCACTGCAGGGGGCGGAGCAGTGAGGCGGGGCCACAGGGGGGACTCACTGGGAAATGGTGCCCGTGGTGGTGGCGCTCACCACCCACTCCAAGTCGATGGTCTTGAAGGGCACCAGGATCATGCTGACATTATCTCCCAGCTCCCGGAAGCTCTCAGGGTACACCAGATGGTGGGTGGTCTTCGTCCCAACATCAGCCTCAAACCCTGCCGTGGGCGCCTTGTTCATCCTGGGAGAGAAGGGGAGAAAGCTGAGTCTTGTAGCATGGGCACCCATTCTCAGCGAGCCTGAGCTCTCCGAGAGAGACAGTGAGCCTCCAGTGTGACCTCAGGGGTGTCAGCTGCCTTCCCCGGGCCTCCTCTTTTTCATCTGTAAAATAGAGACAAGGAAGACACAGCGAGAAGGCTTCTGCTATTTTTCTCTTTCGTGACCTCAAGGGAGTCTAGCCATCACCACCGCTGCCCGCCTGTCACAGACAATCTCATCCAAAGGCTATTTCCACAGCCCTAGTTTTGCAGCAAGGAAACCTGACTCTGATCCTTACCATGGACTTTCCCGTGGGACACCTGGTACACTGAGGCTCCGAGAGGCAGGTAAGTGGTCTAAGGACTAAAGTCAGGAATCACAGACAGCAGAGACTATTCTAGAAGGCTGCTGGGGATGGCCAGCCCCCACCCCCGCACTTCTCAGCATGCAGCACTTATGAGTGGCAATGGCAAGAGACCCAGGACAGACTTGGGGCATCTTCCTGGAATATCTATTTCACTTGGTGACAGGGAAAAACACATTTTACATAAAAGATGTGGTTTTATTATGGCCTAGATTACAAAATGGGGATGAATTTTAAAGATTTAAGAGTCCTCACATTAATTTTGCTCTCTCCCCAGGCCTCCATGTGGCAAGCTTCCAACAACGGGGGAACTCCTGTGTATGGCTTCCTCTGCACGCAGAGGCCCTTCTAGTCCATTCCCGTCCTGCAATAATGCAGAGGTGGGGAATCTGAGGCCTAGGGGGTGCAGTGTGGAGCCTGGGGTCCCTAGGTAAGTCCAGAGACACCAGGACTGAACCTTGCCTTCCTGAGCCTGAGCCAAGATGCTTCCTATAGCTCCAAGGGGCCTCTGGGTGCAGCACAGTGGGCTTGGGACAGGGTGTGGCACTCACCGGAGCACAAAGTCGTGCCTGTCTATCTCAGGCCCATAAGAAGACTCCCTCAGGTTGCCTGAGTTGCCCACAACGGCACAGCGCCGGCAGCCCACCGACCTCTTCTCCAGCATGGGGTCCACATTCCCAGGCACCACTCTGAACAGCTCCTTGATGGTGTCGTTCAAGTTATTGGGCTTCTTCTCCCGCTGGAGCCTCTGTGGGCGGAGGACAGAAGGTGGTCAACCTGGCTTTGTGGCCCCAGCTTCCTGGCAGCAGAGCCCTTGAGCTACCTGCTGTTGTTTACTGGGGCCTCCTGTTCACCCTTCTCTCTGCTGGGTCCCTGGAGATGGAGGCGGCTCACACACAGACACCTCCACTTCCTCCTTCAAGGAGACTAAGGGTTACTCCGGAAGTAAAGAGATTATTCATGTATTCTGCAAGTGTTTACTGAGCACCTACTATGTGCCAGGTACTGCTGAAGCCACTTGGGTGATCCAACCACACCTGGCCTCAGAGGCCCCTCCAACTCCACATGCCATCAGCGTTTCTCCAACCTGCTCCTCCCTGAGGGCTCCCCTCTCTCTGAAAGGCCCTCTATCCCTCTACGTGTCACCGCTGCTTGAAAGAGAGAAAAATAGCAGGAGTCTTCTAGCTGTGTCTCACTCCCACCCTGCTCAGACACCAGGGCCCAGGGGCTATGTGCTCTCGCTCAAAACCTTAACAAGAAGAGCGAGGAGTAGGTGAAATGCCAGTTCTCCAGCCCCAGCCAGGGATGAGGGACAGAGCAGTAGGAACATCTGCCATCTCTCCTGCCTGACCCTCAGTTCCCCTGGCCCCAGGACTGTTGGGTTCCAGTCAGACTGAAGAATCAGCAGTTTGCTGGAGGCACAAGGCCTCTGTGATCTGCCTAGCAAATCATTTTCATCTTCTTTTAAAGACCTAGCCCAGGCCAGGTGCGGTGGCTCACGCCTGGAATCCCAGCACTTTGGGAGACCAAGGCAGGTGGGTCGTGAAGTCAGGAGTTTGAGACCAGCCTGGCCAATATGGTGAAACCCCATCTCTACTAAAAATACAAAAAAGCCAGGCATGGTGGTGCACGCCTGTAGTCCCAGCTACTTGGGAGGCTGAGGAGGGAGAATTGCTTGAACCCGGAAGGCGGAGGTTGCAGTGAGCCAAGATCGCGCCACTGCACTCCAGCCTGGGTGACAGAGAGAGACTCCAACTCAAAAAAAAAAAAAAGAAAGAAAAAAGAAAAAAGACCTAGCTCGAGGGTCAGCTGCTCGCAGGCTGAACACTAGTTTTATTCCCAGGGTGACTATCCTTATTTGCCCAGGTTAAGGGGTTTCTCTAGATGCAGGACTCTCAGTGCTAAAACCAGGATGACTTGGTTTCCCTGTTGGCCCCCGCTGCACGCCCAGGCCGGCCCACCGCCTCAGGTGGAGCTCTGGCCACACTGTGTAGTGATGCCTGTTGGTGCCTCAGCCTTCTTCACCTGTCCCCATGCCACAGTGCTGTGTCATTTCACTGTGGGCGAGGTGAGATGATCTGCGGCCAGAGAGGTAAGCAACACACCCCAGATACAAACCAGGATTTGAACCCAGGCTACTAGAAACCCACCTGCAGGTTTCTCCCACAACACAACCCTGACTCTGGCTCTTGGAATCTTAGCCTTTGGAAAGCCTGGACCCTGGGTTTTTTGGTAGGTGTGGTAAGCTGTGGGGCGGTTCCCATCAGCTACTCCAGGCCCCAGAGGCAAGGAGTGGCTGGGAGAGGAGGAAGTGACCAGCAGTGGCTTTGGCCACTATCCAGAAGATGAGTGACCTGGGCATATGCAGGGAGACCCCAGGGCACCCAGTCCCCACTGCAATGGAAGGAATCAGATGCCCCAAGGGGAGGCACGCAAGCAGAACCACATTGCTCTTCCAGTTAAACCCAGGCAGCCTCTCCTCTGGCTTAAGACCATTAAACACGTCATGGGAAGCAGCACAATCTGGACCACATTTCATACCCACTGCTACAGTATAAGTAAAAGTGCAAAACAACAAGTCGGTGAGAATGTGGAGAAAATGGAACTCGTGCATTGCTGGTGGGGATGTAAAACTGTGCAGCTGAGGTAAAACACAGGTGGTCTTTCAAAAGGTAAGACAGAATAGCCATGTGGCCTACCAGCTCCACTCCTACGTATACACCCCCAGAAACTGAAAGCAGGGTCTCAAGCAGATATTGGTATACCCATGTTCAAAGCAGCATTATTCATAATAGATAAAAGGTGGGAGCAACCCAGTCTCCAGTGATGGATGAATAAACAAACATAAGATGTTCTAGACACATGATGGGATATTATTAGCTATAAAAAGAAAAAAGTTCAAAATTGTTACAACGTGGATGGACCTTGAAAATACTAATATTATGATTAGCGAAAGCTAGACACAGAAAGACAAAGATTATATGATTCCACTTAGTAGTCAAATTCATAGAAACAGAGAGTGGCAGGGTGGCTGTCACGTGCTGGGAGGAGGAGGAGGTGGTAAGGGGAAGTTACTGTTTAATGGGGACAGAGTTTTTGCTTGGGATGACAAAAATCTGCTAGTTATGGTTATAGATAGTGGTCATGGTTACACACGCTGTGAATGTATTTAATGCCACTGAATTGTACACATACAAGTGGTTAAAATAAATATTATGAATACGTTGTCACACACACAAATGCGATGTCCAGATAAAATGCCTGCTTCTGATGGAACCACCCAGGACAGCCCCATGATCCTGAATGTGCAGAAAACGCCCCAGGAGGCTTGCTAAGGCGCAGATCTGACTCAGGAGGTTTGAGCTGGCCCGGAAATCCTGCATTTCTAACAGACTCCTGGGTGATGACGCTGCCAGGGCTGTGGGGGGACCACGCTCTGTGAGCCCCAGGGTACAGGACCACAGCCAGACTCCCCTGCAGGAAACTCCACGGAGGTCTCCCACCAGCAAGGGCTGCTGTGCCCCCCAGGCTTGTGAAGATGTGCCCGGGCCCACAGGATGGCATTCCATCATGCCGCTACTTTGATTTGGGAGCCTGGCACCGTGTATCCATCATACAGTGACATTTACTGAGTGCCTACGGGGTGCCACAGAGGTCCGAGAAGCCAGGACTCAAGGTCGGCCGTGGATGTGTGTGGGGAGCATGTTGCATGCTTCACACAGCACCACATCACCTCGCTGGACTCTTACTGACTGACTTTAATGACTCATTTAAGAAAAATTTATTTATTTATTTATTTGAGATGGAGTCTCACTCTATCGCCCAGGCTGGAATGCAGTGGTACTATTTCGGCTCACTGCAACCTCCACCTCCTGGGTTCAAGGGATTCTCCTGCCTCAGCCTCTCAAGTAGCTGGGATTACAGGTGCATACCACTGTGCCTGGCTAATTTTTATATTTTTAGTAGAGACGGGGTTTCACCATGTTGACCAGGCTGGTCTCGAACTCCTGACCTCAGGTGATCCACCCGCCTCCACCTCCCAAAGTGCTGGGATTACAGGTGTGAGCCACCGCACCTGGCCAAAAAATAAAAATAAATTTATTTGAAAAGGAAACCTCTCATCTCTACCACAAGTAGAAAGCAAGAATTACCTGGCAGAAGTAAAATGGTAGTTGTACAATGCAATGAAAACTAAGCTACTGTATTCGGTTCCAGCTCTACCCTGCTGCCTGCCCAGGCAAACTCTCCTCTCCCTTAGAACAAGGCTCACAAGCCCTGACAAGGTGCAAAGTAAGACACCAGGCCAAACTGAAGCCCCAGCACTGCAGAGACAGGCGGAAAGGAGGGACGGCAGGAATGACCTCCGGGCTCTGTGATCCGACTTTCTCTAATGCCCTGCCTCACCTAACAACTCAAGCCCCACACTTCAGAAATCTCGGATCCGTTCCAGTCTTTCACTGGCAAAAGGGGAAACGGAGGCCCAGGCCCTGGAAAGGGCTCATCTGAGGTCACTGAGTGAGTGCAGGGCCAGGTAGAACTCAGATGGGAAACTGGCTCTTTCTCTAGATTATCATCCTAAGTCCTCCCCGTACCAGCTGAGATGGAGCGGCAGGTTACTCCATGTAGCGTCACTGTTTTGGGAAAGAAAGATTCTGGTTTTCTCTGCCTTTTGTCAGTGACAATAAAAGTATGACAGTGCTGGCCAGGCGCAGTGGCTCACATCTGTAATCCCAACACTTTGGGAGGCCAAGGTGGGCGGGTCACCTGAGGTCGGGAGTTCGAGACCGGCCTGACCAACATGGAGAAACCTGGTCTCTACTAAAACTACAAAATTAGTTGGGGGTGGTGGCGCATGCCTGTAATCCCAGCTACTCGGGAGACTGAGGCAGGAGAATCACTTGGACCTGGGAGGCAGAAGCTGTGGCGAGCCGAGATCACGCCATTGCACTCTAGCCTGGGCAACAAGAGTGAAACTCCATGTCAAAAAAAAAAAAAAAAAGGTATGACAGTGCTACTGATATGAACACAGGACAGAGTGTTTGGAAGTTCAGAGACACGCCCTCCCCAGCCTTCCTGGCTAGTTTCCAAGTATATGTCTCTGTATACAATCAGTGCTCAATCAATGCCTGCCGCCTGGTGGTCTGAGCTCCTTAGGGAAGCATGGGGCCTCGGGTCGGCTTCCCTGGAAGCAGGGGCTGAGGCGCGGATGCAGGTGTCCATGGTGGGTGCCATCTGGAGAGGGATGAGGAGTAAGGCAGGAGAAGGAAGGGGGATCTCCATGGAGTCAAGCACTACAGGCTGGGGGCGAGGGTGGGCGAGGCGAGTGAGGAGTGGGGTAAGAAAGCCCACTCATGCCCAGGGGCATAGCCCAAGAGCGGGCATCTCTGTGAAGCTGGAGCCCTGGGTGCCTCAACTCACCCTGCACTTGGGCATGATCCATGGGAACTCTGGAGCGTGCACTGTGGCAGAGTTTGTCCTGTCTTGAGGCACGATGGCTGGAAGTCGTCCCTATCCACAGGCCACACCTGTCCCGAGAGTGTTGGGAAGAGGTACCCGCACTCCCTTCCCACCCTCCTTCCTCCTTCCATGGCCAATGAACGATGCATCACCTTCTGAGAAGCCTCCCTTGGACCCTGGAAATATCAGTCTCTGGCCTTCCACACATGGCTGGCACCACTGGGGCCTCACCGCAGGCCTCGTTCCAATCCCCAGCTGCTGTTGGTTTCCCTGGCTCCTTTGGCATTCAAGCAGCAGACACAAGCATGCCAGGTAGTACAGGCTCAAGATATGTCTACTGAATAAGTGAATGACAGCTGCTAAAGCTAACACACATTCATTCATTCAGCTCATCACAACAGAGCCCCTACCACATCCTTGGTGCCGTGTGGATGGACAGGTTAGCGCAGGGACAGGCGGTGCTTAGAAAGGGCTCGTGCAGGACTCCGATGGCTCACCCTGGGTGGAAGCGTGTGTTCTATGGTTGCTCTATGCAGGGCTCTGTGTTGAGAACCTGATAGGCAGCTTCTCACTGAGTTCCTATAATGGTTCTATGAGAAAGGTGATCTTATAGACCCATTTTATGGGTGAGGAAACTGAAGCTTACAGAGGTGAAGTGAGTTTCCCAGGACGAAGACAGTTTGAATATCCTGCGTCTGACTCCAGACCATGTCCTTTAATTAGAAGGGGATCTGACTGTGCCCTTCGACAGTGGGTGACCCGGTAAGTGCAAAGTGAGGACAATGAAATAGCTACACCCTCGTGGCGGTGGGGGTGGTGACGGCGAGGCAGTGGTACCTGGATAGCTGGGTCCAGGACCTGGCCAGAGTTGGTGCTAGGTGCCAGGTGGACAGTATGATGGTATTATTTTGCATTTGGGCACTGAGCATGGATGTCTGGGATGGGAAGATGCCTTAGGAGGGCAGGGGGTGGAAACCAGGGGAGGATCGCACTCTTTCTGTCCCTTGAGAATGTTCCCTGTGTATCACAGAATGGTTTCCCAAGTTGGGAGCAAGTAGAGAAGGCAGAGTCAGAATTCAACATAGCTTGTCTCCGAATTGGACATGGGGACTGGGGAAGAAGGGATCCCTGTTCCTGGATATCTGGGACAGAGACCCGAGGAGAGGGTCACAGGGGTCAGTAGGTCCAGCCTGGGATGGTGGTGTAGTCTCTTGCAGGGCAGGGCACAGGGCTGATTTGGAAACTCAACTCAACTCAACTCAAAGAGTGAGCCCCGGTGACTGCTCCTGTGTCCCTCTTCCTGCCAGGGCTGGGACGAGGTGGAATTGTGATGCCCACTTGACTGATGAGGACTATGAAGCTCAGGGCAGGATGGGAGCTCGGGACCTCACATTCTCACCTAAGACTCTTCCAGCTCCCTCAACAGTATGGGGGGAAACTGCCCCTATGATTAATTATCTCCCACCGGGTCCCTCCCAAAACATGTGGGATTTGTGGGAGCTACAATTCAAGATGAGATTTGGGTGAGGACACAGCCAAACCATATCAGGACCCAAGTCCAGTTCTGTTCATGAACTGGTCCTGCCTGCAGGGGGGCCTTTAAGCAGAGCAATGGCGCAGCCAGGAACTCCCAGGATGGCTTTGATGTCAAATATTCCCTGCCTCTATCCCGATTCTTTATTCAAAGCATGTAGTCTCTGTATTATCTGTACATTTTTTAGAACCCCAAAGCTCTAAAGCCCCGCTCCTTTCTGTTGATTTCCAGAGGATGAAGCCCCATTCCTTCCAAGTGGCTACCCTGGGATCAGTCACCAGAGGCTAAACTTCAGAAAAAGACTGCAGAGAAGGGCTACAGGTAGGGGAGGACATCTGGTAAACAGGGAACAACTAAGTGGAAATATATTCAGCCTTAATTAATACTGAAAACAAAATAAAACACATAAGTTCAGTATTACTTGCCCATTAAACCAACAAAAATAAACACAATTGTTAAAACTAATGATTGCAGGGTTGTAGAGAACCTGGTGAAATAGCTTATTCCTCCCATGTAACAGGAAGGAACCTGAGACGCAGTGAGATGAAGAGCTTCTTCACAGTCACTCCTGATGGGACCTATGAAGTCTGGGACAAAACCCAGGAACCCTGATGCCACGCCTCAGTTCCTAAGTCTACATGATAGCCTGTGTTCTTTGAAGACACATAGGTTATATCCAAAAGCTGATGTTTTTCCCTTATGCCTTTTTAACCCCCTTGGGTGACACCAGCCTAAGTTTTAGAAACCGCCTTCCCCAAGAAGAAGGATCGATACTGTCTTGGTAATGCTCTCTAATAACAGTTTTTTAATATGGTATTTCTAGAGGCTGGATTTGATGTTCTCTTTTGCAAAAGTCACCTAACTTTTCTGAGTTTCAGTTTCCTTATCTGTAAAATGAGGACAAAGGCCCCCAAGTTTCTCCTTTACCTGCCAATGTGTAAGGTCCCTTCCTGTTTGGTTTATATCCAGGCTATGTAGCACCCTGTTTGTCCCCAAAGGCCTTTGTAAACAGAATCCCATGGTGACACTGAGTATCACAGACTCCAGGCTCTGAAGAGGAAGTTTGGACTTAATGTGGTCCCAGCAACGCTGCTACAGGGGGAATCAGATCCAGAGAGGAGATGGGATGTACATGAAGCCACCTCTGCCATCGATGTGTCATTTTCCCAACCCTGCTGGTTCTCAAGGGAGGGCAATTTTGTGCATGCATGTGCAGCCCCCCCCCCACACACACCCCACCTGGGACACCTGACAATGTCTGGAGACTTCTGGCTATCACAACTTGGGGATGGGGCACTCCTAGCATTTAGCAGGTAGAGGCCAGGGATGCTGCTAAACATCCTGCAATGCACGGGGCAGCCCGTGTGGCTAAGGCTGATCCAGCCCCACAAGTCCATAGTGCCGAGGCTGAGAGCAGACCCTAATCCTTACCATGCCTGGCTCACCACCTCCTTCCCTAGACCCTTGCATCTCTGAAAGGAAAAGACCCTACCTGCCTGGTTCTCTGTCACCTCCCCAGAGCCCACCCCAGGACCTGCACACAGCGGTGCTCAACACAGATCAGCAAACCAGGACTCAGCCAGGTCTTCAGAAGCACAGCCCAGGACTTTCAATCCTTCTCAGTCTCACGCATGTTTTCTGTCCATTTCAAATAGACCTTCCTCCAGAATCTACCTGGATAACCTCTCTGAATCCTTCATGATGAGCCTGGCCATCACTTCCTGTGGGAAGCCTTCTGGGATAACACCAGGCTTCAAGGGGAGTTGGACATGGGAGACCACAGCTCCTGCGCCCACTTCCTGCGCAGCACCTATCATCCTGGCTTGAGTTTGTCTGTTTTCCCTTCTCTCCCCATCACTCCTGCAACCCAAGAAAGGAAAGACTCTACCTTTTCCATCTCCATGTAGTGATGCTTGGCATATAGTAGGTGCTCAATAAATAAGAAACGAGCACATATATCTTGCTCTTCTTCAATCTATTTTGCATTTAACAATGGGAATGACCTTTCAAACGACACGATCAGATCATGAAACTCCCTGATAAAAATTCTACAGTGACTTCCTGTTGCACTTACAAGAAATCCCAGAGTCCTCTCCCGGGTCTCGCCGACTCTCAGGCCTCGTCTCACTGCACCTCGCAAATTCACAGTCCCCCAGCCTCCACTCCCCAACACATCCAGCAGAGGCCACCCTGGGGCTCCTGCACCCGCTGTCCCAGACATCTGCAGTGCATGGTCCTGCTCTTCTCATGGCTGCTGCCTTCTCTGCCTGTGGGTCTCAACTTGAGTCCTGCTGTCTCAGAGACCTCCCTGGTGACCCCATTTACAGAAGCCCCCTCTAAGTTTCTATGATAAACCTCATTTGCTCTCTCTTCAAAGCACTGCTATGTGATGTTTATTTCTTACCTTCCTTGTTTATTTCTTATCTTCCCCTCCCAGTCAGAATGAAATTCCATGAGAATAAGGATCTCTCTCTCTTTTTGCATTTCAATAGCTGTAGTGGGTGAAATAGTGGCTCCCAAAGAGATATGTTCAAGTGCAAGTCACTGGAATCTGTGAGCATGACATTTGGAGAAAGGGCCTCTGCGGGTGAAATTGTTGAGGATCTCTGCATGAGATCATCCTGGATTAGGGTGGGCCCTAAACCTGATGACAGGTGTCCTCATAGGAAAAGGAGAGGGACATGTGAGATATAAGGGGACACAGGGAGGAAGGCCCTATGGAAGTGGAGGCAGAGGCTGGACTGTCGCAGCTCTGAGCCCAGGAACACTCAGCACTGCCAGCAGCCGGCAGGAGCCAGGAGCGGGCCTGGGGCGGCTTCCTCCTCAGAGCCTCCAGGAAGAGCCAAGCCTGCCCATAATTTGATTTCAGACTTCTGGCCTCCAGAGCTGCAAGAGGATGCACTTCTGGTGTTTTGAGCCATGAAGCATGCAGAAATTTGCTATGGCAGCCACAGGAAACTAAAGCCATGCTTCCTGCTCTTAGATATAATAGATCCTCAATAAATAGTGTTGGACAATAATCTGAATCCTACTGAATAAACTGCCTCGCAGGGCCCCAGGTGTACACGGGGACTGAGCATTTAATTCTGGGAGCACCTCACTCTCATTACCAGACCCCTACCCTCAGCCCAGACCCCCACTCTCAGCCCAGGCCCCCTACCCTCATCCAGATCCCCACTCTCAGTCCACACCCCAACTCTCAGCCCAGACCCCACTCTCAGGCAGCATCTCACCAGCCACCATCGGTAGGTGTCGTCCTCCAAGAGTGCATTTTGGGCAGTCAGCAGCGGCTGCACAGTCTGGTTGAACCTCTCGTCGAACCAGACCGAGAGCTTGCGCTGCCCGATGCAGTGGGTGCAGGTGCAGGGCCTGTGCTTGATCAGCCTCTTCAGGTTCTCGGAGAGCTCCAAGACCATCTGCTTGGGGAACCAGGTGGTGGTCACCATGGTGTGGGAGTAGTTCAGGAAGAAGGAGGTGAGGAAGATGAAGAGCACGAGGAAGGTGAGCACCTTCAGGGTCCTCTTCCGCAGGGTCACCATCTTCGCAGCCCTGATGGCGGCCTCCCACGATGGGTAGCAGAACTCCCTCCTAAGAGAGGAGAAAAACGGAAGAAAAATCCCAGAGGTGGAGGCTCAATCAGAAGGGATGGCGGGAATTCCAAGGGAGGACACAAGGGCCGCTAAGGTCGACTTCACTTCCGCTGGGGGATGACCCCCCACTGTGTCCCAGACACCGCTGTGTGGTAGACCAAGGCCATTCGTGACATGTTGGCTTTGCTTGCATATATTTACCTTTTCAGAAAATAAAGTAGCCTATTCTTCTGCGATCCTTAAAGAGCTGATAATGTCTCCTGATCAAGCTTTAACCAGTGATTTCCTTTCCCATCCAAACAAGATAAGGGGTCATTAATCGCTGTGACAGTCCAGGGTCCCTCAGGAGCAAGGACCTCGAAGGAAGGGTCTTGGTATAGCGGGGAGGAAAGCTGTGTCTGCCGTCCTCCTCCAACTGTGGTTTCTGATGATCCTTAATTAGGGCTTTTTCTTTCTCATGCTGTCGCCGGAGACACGGTGGGTACGCAACCAGCTTGATGAAGGCACAGAAGGTTGTCTGTCATCTGCAAAGAAAAGGAGGAAGAAAACAGGGTGAGATTCTGTGATCCTGCTATAAAAAATGTTTCTCTCCACATCTCCACCAGGATGCATTCCGTGGTCTTCCTTCTGGTGTCATGCCAACCTGGCAGGTGGCTCCGGATGGTTTGTCTACCTTTGTGAGCCTCAGTGCGTGCATACAATGGATGTTATCATCTCTTTGCAAGGTTACTATGGGATGCAGAAAGTGTCCCCTCCATGCTTCCAACAACAAGAACCTAGCACACTGACACACTCAACAAACGTTTGTAAAAGAGCTCATGACGCATGTAGGTACAATATACACAGGGATTGTTAAATACATGTTATTTGCTTTCTCTCTACTTCATTCTCTTCCAGATTTTGGATTTCAGCAACAAGCACAACAACAATGGTATGCTTAGAGAGTGACCCAGGGTTCCTTTTACCCGGGCCATTCAAGCTCTGCCAACTGGCCTTACTTCCATAGAAGGGGCTTTAGACAGTCCAAGTTCAAGCTCTGATTTCCCATCTGTGGAGCCTTGGGAAAGTTATTCAACCTTCCTGACCCTCAGTTTCTTCTTTTGTAAAGTGGGATATTAACACCCCTACTTATAGAATGGTTATGAAGATAAGATAAAATGATGTATGCTGGGCTTCTGGTATCTATTAGGCCATTGCTGAACTTTAATTTTCCTTCTTCAGTCGGGCGCGGTGGCTCACGCCTGTAATCCCAGCACTCTGGGAGGCCGAGGCAGGCGGATCAGAGGTCAGGAGATCGAGACCATCCTGGTTAACACGGTGAAACCCCATCCCTACTAAAAAAAATGCAAAAATTATCCGGGCATGGTGGCGAGTACCTGCAGTCCCAGCTACTTGGGAGGCTGAGGCAGCAGAATCCCTTGAACCTGGGAGGCAGAGCTTGCAGTGAGCCGAGACTGCACCACTGCACTCCAGCCTGGGCAACAGTGCAAGACTCCATCTCAAAAAAAAAAAAAATTCCTTCTTCAGCACATGAATGAATCAATATTCTTTGATGATCCACTAAGAGCTGAGAGCATGAGATATTCATGCATACGTATCTCTTCAGATAATCCTCGGAATATACTGCCAGCTAGATACTAGTTTCCCTTTTTGTCTTGAAGAAACTCTCAGAGTTTCTCAGAAGAAACTGAGACTCTCCCTAAGGAGAGTGTCTCAGAAGAAACTGAGACTCAAAGAGGTTAGATGACTTGCCTAAAGAAAGGAAGGAGCAGGATCTGAGTCCAAATCCACAGTCCTCTGATTCCTTGCATCTGGAGGGGTTAGGGTTAGGGTTACTGTGGTCCCCTCTTAGGAGACCAAGAACAGGGGGTTGAGGGCTCTACCCTGGAGCAGACACCTGTCTTGTTAATTGTTCTTCAGACTACTACAGCTGGAGGGATATAGAGCAAGGGGGGAATATTCTTTTGAAGAAAGCAAACGGGTACCTCTCAAATGCCCATCAGAGACCCCCCTGGCTCTCACTGACACCTTGGGATTTCTGTATGATACAACTGCAGTTACACCTCTGCCCTGGAGCATGGTCTCTTTGGTCTTTGCTTGGAATGCTGAAGAATGGAAGGAATCTGATCAATTCCTCCCCATCCTCAAGGTGTAGATCGCCAATAAGCAGGGTATTTTTTTTCCCAGGAAAATTAGAATTGAAAAGAGATTGATAACCTTTTGGTAGAAAGGGGGGCAGCTCAAAAAACCATATTAAATCCACAGTGCCTTTCTGGAAACATCCAGGGTCCAAGATACATAGGGTGCAACCCTCTACAGCTTCCAGAAGTAGAAGCCCAACGTATGGAGGATAAGGTCTGAGCTCTGCAGCTCAGTTGGCAATGTCATTTTTATCCGGCCCCTGCTCCAATTTTCCCTTTTCATGAAAACCTAGATTTTGTTTATAACCTAGAGGTGTCCACAGGTGTCCCATCCAATTCTCTCCCCACCTGCCCCCATCAAGGAGCAGTTCTGTAATTTGAGTAAGAATAACTTCTGCATCACCACAGGTAGGCTCACAATTCACTTGACTGGCAGAGGGTTCCCACCTCTTACCCCAGTAATTGATCCAGGGATGGGCATGTGCCTTAATTCATCCAGTCCAGCTTCTGTAGCGAGGGAAGAAACTCTTTTGCTCTGGTTGGCTTGTTGTTGACATGTGGAACATCCTGCTGGCTATTTTGCTAGCTTGTGTAGAAGAGACTAGAGCTGAACAACCTGAACAAATGGTGCTAAATCCTTGATCCTGCTCAACTTGCAGCCCCACCCTCATCTTGACTTTTCAGATACGTGAAGGAATGCGCCCCCTTTATGGAATAAAGTAGATTATTCGTAACGTCAAGCATCATGACTGACCCACAGGTCACAGTTGCTCCTACCTCTGTGCCCCCGCTCAGGCTGTTCCCACTGCCCGGAAAACCACCCCCACCCTGCGTGGCCGATGGTTCTTACTTATTCTCTAGGGCTCAGCTGGTGCCGACTCCTGGAGGAAGCCCTGTCCACTCCTGGAGTGAGTTAGGGGCCTCTCCTGGCTCCCCAAGGTCCTGGCTGCACTCTGTCTGCACTCTTCACACATATGTCTCCTCCCTGGACGAGGAGCAACGTGAGGATGGAAACTCAGCCTCACTATGGCAGTGACCGTGTCACCCGGGCACACACTCAATGCTCAGTGGAGGCTTGGGTCATGAAGGAACCCAGAAATGAATGGAGGGAAACAAAACAGCCAACAGTCCAGAGGGAGATCTGAGAAAGAAAGCACAGATTCCGAGTCAGATTTCCATTCTCGGCAGCCTGTCCCACTCTACTCACTGTGTGACCACGAAAAAGTCGCCTAGCCCTTCCGAACCATCCCTTCAATGGGAAAAAGGGATTGATAACACAAATTCTCCTAATTTCTCAGGGCTGCCAACCCATCAAGGTTGTCCATTCATCTCATTCATTGACTGCATATTTGCTGGTCCTTGCATTGTCCAGGCCCTGGACAAGGTGGCTGGGGTACATCGTAAAGGGATCTAAGGTAGGGGCCTCCCAGGCATCAATAGGGCCCCAGATCCTTTGGAACAAAGGAGGCCAGTATGCCTGGCTCAGACCCAGGCTGGAGGAGAGGAGTGGGCGGGGGGTGAAAGGGAATCTGGGCATGCAGCTGGGGTGAGAGTGCGCTGGGCCAGAGAACCCACAGTCAAGACTAAGTTTTCTCTGGGTTAGCAGGTTTCTCTGGAAACCTGCTGGTGGGGCTGAGCAGAGGAATGCCATGGTCTTATTACATTAGCCTTTACAATGAACAGGGCCTAGGGCACCCTTGCCCTTAGCGTTTCTGCACCCCTAATGCCAGGGCAGAGATGAGTTCTCTGAAATAGATGACTGTTGAACCGTGTTGATCAAACAAGGCTATGGATGACAGGTCATGTTTCCTACAATGCCCTGCCTCTGCATGAGAGACATGAATGCTCTAGGCTGCTGCTAGGGGTTGGGTGAGAGGCAGGGCAGACAGCACGGTTGTGCTGCACAGGCTGTGGGACTGTGACAGCCTCCTCTCCTCTGGGGCATCCTGCAGCCACACCTCCAAGGCCAGGGCACTCCCCATAACCATCAGAGGCTTCCGAGCTGGTATCATTTAGCGCTTTCCAAAGCCCTGGATAAAACTGCAATGGAAAAGCAAGAACGCCGCCCCACCCCTTCCCTGGCTGCAGGGAAGGAACAGGACTGCATGTCTTCTCTGTGCTCTAGCAAGTGTGGGGCAGCCCGCAGGCATGGGGGAATGCCAGCCCTGGCTCCCAGAAATGAAACCTGGGTCAAGACGCCACAGACCAAAGATCTGTGCATGCCAAGTGTGTGGGGAGGGAGGCCTGGCCTCCTAGAACAAAGAGAAAGAAGAGAGGGAGCAGGGAAGGATGGGGAAGGAGGGAAGCTGGCTTCCTGTCCTCTGCCAAATGGCAGTCATTTCCCAGCCACATGCTCAATACGAGGAGGCATGAAGCACCTGCACACAACAGAGCTTAGTGGGGTCACCAGCACAAGACTGACAAATGTCAGCACAATTTTGATGACTGGAAAGTAAGAATTTCCATACGGAGAGTACCTAATGAAGATAAACTCCTCTGGCAATAGGGAGTTGAGGGGCAATGCCCAGAGACTGAGAGAACTGTGTGGAACTCCTGCAAACACGGATGAATGAACTGCATGGGGTTTTGAACCTGTAGTAAATACCCGCTGAACGGGATGGTAGTAAATACTCATCACAGGCTGGGATGCCCTCCCAGCCCTTCACACAGCCCCTGGCACTATGGTCACCAGAGAAGAGGTGTGCCTGAGTGAACTGCGCAGGCTGTTGGCAAAGTTGACACTTTCAATACAGAGTAGCCACAACTTTCCCCATGTGATCCCCAAGCCACCGGGAGAGGTGAGTAACCCTTAGGCTTGTTTCCCTGAAACCGAGAGAAGGCAAGTGACTTATCCAAGGTCACACAGCAAAATGGTGGCAAAGCCAGACTCCTGCCTTCTCCTGTGGCTTTCTATGTAGCCATGGCTCATCGTTCAATTCCATCAATACCTGCTCTTATCTGCCCTATCTCCCCCATTCCCTTTCTGATAACTTCTTTGGACTTGGTTTACTGTCATCCCTCCAGCCTCTTATGTTGGATACTACCTTGTTTACCTTCCCTTCTTGCTGTGCCTACTCTATTTGAATTATGTATTCAGTTCTTCATTTCAGTGGTGTCTTTTAGTTCTGGAATTTCCACCTAATTTTTTGACAGGTTCTACTTTGCTGGTGAATTTCTCCATCTTGTCATCTATCTTTGTGCAATTATTTACCACAGCCATCTTAAAGCCCACATTGGATATCCTGTGATACTTGGATAACATGGGTCTATTTCTATTGTCTATTTTCTCGGTTGCTCTGTCTTTCTTTGGTTATTTGGTTATGTCCTTGGCAGCCCTGGTTGCTGTTTGTATTGTATATGACAAAAATGTAGAGGCTCTGGATGAGGCTGTCCTCCTTCAGAGAGGACTGGTTGTCTCCTGACCAGCAGGTACAGAAGGGGCACATTACTCTGTTCTAACTGCGGCTGTGTTTCACTTTTCATGAAGACTGGTCTATTTCTGGTTTACTCTTACCCCTGGGGCATAGCCATTCTCAACAGGTAAACTGAGATGCTTATCAGGGTGACTATTCCTTACAGGCTCCTATCTCCAATTTCTGTCTCCCCTGTAATATGGGATCACCATAAGCTTAGCTTAACTTTTTAGCCTTCCATTTTTGTTGTTGTTGTTGTTACTGTGTTTTTGATTTTGAGATAGAGTCTCACTCTGTTGCCCAGGCTGGAGTGCAGTGGTGTGATCTTGGCTCACTATAAACTCTACCTCCTGGGTTCAAGTGATTCTCCTGCCTCAGCCTCCTAAGTAGCTGGGACTATGGGCACACGCCACTGTGCCTGGCTAATTTTTGTATTTTCAGTAGAGGCGAGGTTTCTCCATGTTGGTCAGGCTGGTCTTGAACTCTCGACCTCAGGTGATCCACCCACCTCGGCCTCCCAAAGTACTGGGATTATAGGCATGAGCCACCATGGCCAGCCTTTTCAGCTTTTCATCTGCTGTTTTCTGCTTGGTTTCTTAGACTCTGGACCCATGAAACTTAAGTGCTGGCAAATGCCTTGAAAGGAAAATTTTAAAAGGCACAGAGCACACGTTCTTTTCTTTGTGGTTCTTTTTGCTCTAGGTTCTTGGTTCCCTGGGTTTTGGTTGACTTAGTAGTCCTGAACTCACTGACTCCCTCTACCTACCTACCTATCTCTGTTTTGTTTCCCCACCTTGTGAGACTGCCAAACACTTTGAACTGTTGCTCTTTGCTCGTCCTCTGAACCCTCTGCAAAAATCAGCACATACCTTGTGCAGGAAAGGAGCAGGGAGTATTGGGTTTCCCCCAACTTATTTCCTTTCTCTTGGGGGTCTTCACACCTCAAGTCCTGGCTGCTTTAGTTGTTCTCTAATGCCTTCAAAGAGCTGGATTTCAAGTTTTTCCAGCTTTTATAGTTCTCAGTGGGAGAAAAGATCTGGTACAAGCTTCTGCCATTGCCCAAAGTAGAAGTACAGCATCTTTCCTTTGCCTTTCCATGTTCCTGTTCTTGGAGTGGTTGCCTGTATGTGTCAGGGGCTTGGCAAATTCAGAGAAGAGGGTGGGGCCAGAGAGGCCTCAGAGGTGCCGAGGCAAACCTCCTCACACCAGCCAAGTGCACAGATGGTGGGAGGAAGAGGCAGATTTGCAGGCTGGAAAGTTGCAACTGCACCCGTGGCAGCCACCACCTCCTTGCCCCACCCAAGGGGCCCCACTGCATCTGCTTTCACTTTATGTCAGAACATCCTGCTCCCAGGCCAGCTCTGCACAGACAGCGAGGATGACTTCCAGTGCAACACATCCGGGGACTTCCCATTATTGAAAAACAGATCCTCCCATGGGCTTTGGGATCCTGGCCGGCTGGCTTCATGTATGGGCACAGGGTGGGACCAAGTAAGACCTGACCAGTAAATCTTGGATACTTAAAGGCCCTCAAACCTTCCAGTAAGAAGAATGACTCCTTTCTGAACTGCTCTCTGGCCCCGGCCTGGTCACTGGATGCTTGGAACCCATTTAATCTGGTTTTGTAAAGAATTTCCTAGTGGATCATGGCCAACAGTTGTCTGAACAACAAAAACAACAACAACAAAGGCACAGACAGACCTGCATTCAAATCCTGACTCTTCCCATTCCTGGATGTGTGTTCATGGGCAAGGCACTTGCCCTCTCTGATCCTCAATTCCTGAATCTACAAAATAGGATTAAAAATGCTCACGCAGGCCAGGCATGGTGGCTCACGCCTGTAATCCCAGCACTTTGGGAGGCCAAGGTGGGTGGATCACCTGAGGTCAGGAGTTCGAGACCAGCCTGGCCAACATGGTGAAACCCTGTGTCTACTAAAAATACAAAAATTAGCCGGGTGTGGTGGCGGGTGCCTGTGATCCCAGCTACTTGGGAGGCTGAGGCAGGACAATCACTTGAACCTGAGAAGTGGAGGTTGCAGTGAGCCCAGATCGCACCACTGCACTCCAGTCTGGCTGACAAAGTGAGACTTTGTCTCAAACAAACAAACAAACAAAAATGCTCACACGAAGGGTTGCTGTGGGATAAAAGGCCTTGCACAAAAGTGACCAGCTCAGTTCCTGCCACAGCGTAGATGACCACAAAGGTCAATTCTGTCTCTCCCCACTAAGCTTCAAGGTCCTCATTTGTAAACAAAAAGGAGAAAGTCCAGCAGAACCCTTGGCCCGTCCCACTGGCAGCGTTGTTTAAAACCAAATGAAATCAGGCATCAAATCATGCAAACCAGTGGTATCACACAAATGATGATTCTCGCTGAATTCATTATTTGTGTGAATTCCTTGATGTGCTGAACAGCTAAATCTTCATGCTTTCTACTCCTGTGGCCAAGACCTCCCAGGACCTGCAGGAAGGAGCTCCTAACATACTGGGGGAAAGGTCAGGGTTCCCAGAGGCTCCCAGACCCAGAGGACTCTGCAAAAGCCATGCCTCAGGTCAGGAGGTAGCTGTCCCAGAGCCTTATGTACAGAGTCAGGCCCACCTGAGTTTGCAACCAGCTTTGACCTTCCCCAGGAAAAGGTTCCTCAAAGTTGCTCTGATATCTCCAATTTTCCACTCTCCAATCAGTCTTTTTTCCCACGTGCTTGGAAACGCAGATGCATTGTCTTCT